TGGTAAATTCCAACATAAGGAACGTCTCCACAAGTTGCTGGCAGAGTGCACAAGAGCCAGGCAGCACCACGTTCCTGGCCTGTGGCCTTGGGTTGTAGCCTTGGGGGCCCCTGGGTGGCAGCTGCAAGGACTCGGAATTCTCTGTGCCTCCTCTCCTCACCCAGGGATGTGATCCTGGCTTATCTCTAGGGACCAGAAGGTGGGGCAAGGGTCCAAAAAGGGAATGGGGGAAGAGGGTTGTTGTCCAGAAGAGTCCACCCCTGGGCCCTCCCAAAGGGCAGTCGACGCCCCCAGCTTGCAGCCACCTGAGGCCGCCCTCTGGCTCCTGGTGTCCCCTCAAGTTCTTCTTCGGCAGCTGTCCTGGGGTTCTTCCAGGGTCAGGGCGTGGCGTATCCAGGAGCGGTCAGCTGCACTCAAGTCCTGGGCCAGCCAGCTCCTCCCACCTTCCCTGGCATGCAGGAAAAAGCCCTGCCTGCCCGCCACCTGCCCGGCCAGTCCAGGCCAGTGGCAGCTGGAGAAGCTGGAGATGAGCGCCCGTAACCTCTGCCCCCTAAATGGGATTATGAACCCCGCGAGCCCTGCCAAGGCAGAGACAGGAAGGAGAACACAATGTTCTTTTTCGGAACTCAAAAATAGCCCTTTTTGAGTTTTGGGGAGGATCTAGACTTTAAAAATTTTTTTAATCAAGTTCACTGGTGCTAAATCTAGCCTTGCCAGGATCGACAAGGAGTGGGGCAGTGGGCCGCGTTGATGTGCTGTTTTCTCCTGTCACGGCCCTGCTGGCGCAGGTGTGCAAAGCCAAGTGAGGGACAGTCACGATCGAGGCCCGGCCTGGCCAAAGGTAGTGTCCTGGCTTCCCCTGCCAGGCGCTGGCTCCCCGATGGAAATCTAGCTTGGCCCCCACTTTCGTTCCTTCTTTCCCTCCTTCCTTCAACCCTAATTTCCTCTGAGCTGAAAAGGGTTTTCTTTCTTCTTGGGCCTGCGGTTGACATATATTCCCTCCTAGAAAATCTCTTATCTGTCTTCAGAATTCCAAACTCAAGGGGAAGTAGTGTTAGAATTTTAGAACTGCTGGTGACCTGCTGTGTGGACCAAGGGTGAGAAAGCTAACTGAGAAGCCACGAGAGTCCTCACTGGTCTCAGGCTGACCATTTCCCTCTTGAGCGTGCTGAGCAAGCCAAGGTCATCAACACCTGCCCTGGATGCTCTTGGAGAAAATCAAACATGAGCAATTGCTGTGTAGCTGATTTCTATGAGAATGTAAGAGGTCTGTGTTCAAACCACTCCACTATCCATGTGAGAAAACCGAGGCCCATAAAGCGGAGGTGACTTGTACAGGATTATCCAGAAAACTCATACCAAGGCCCAGACGGAAGCCCACGTCTCCTTCCTCTCTGCCCCCTGGCGGTTTCCTGTGGCCTCCTTGGCTCTGCTCTACTTTCTGGAGCATTCCAGGAAGCTGGCATCTGAGCACCAAGTCATCTTCCATCTTCTGCATCTTTATACAGACGGCAAGACCAGCAAGCCATAGGAGGTTGATCTTCACAGGATTCCCAGCAACCCTTCCCAACCTTGTGCCCCTTGGAAATCAAGCTGCAGCCCAGAACCACCCCCTCTGTGGGAGCTGGAAGAGTCGGCTCCAGGAGGTGACTCACAGTGATGTCATCCACCTGCAGCTGACTCAGGCCTCCACTCTGATTGCCCACGTAGCTGCAGCCTCCGTTAAACCCCAGAGAGCTCAGAATAATGCAAGTGTCTTTCTCCGAACCAGTTCCACTTGGTGATGAGCAGGCAAGTCTAATTTTAGCAGAAGACTCTTAGAATGTGAGAAACAGAAGGGACTTTTTGATCATCCATCTTGTGGTTCTCCACTCCCACTAAGCAGCAAAATCACCCAAGGAGATTAAAAATAGTATCTCAGAGGTTCTGACTGGTTGGTCCTGGATGGAGCCAGGGCACCGATGTTTACAGCTCCCCAGGGGCAGCCATGGTTAAGAACCACAGGTGTGTTCTAACACCTTCATTGAACCAAAGAGGCACATTGTACAAAAGAGCTACCTGGAGAGGAGAAGTCTTTGCCCAAGGTCACACTGGTGTCGGGCATACTCGGGACTGGAACTTGGATTCACCTGACTCCCCGTCAAAGGCCCTCATGTGATTTCCCTGACTGGAAGCCATATCTAATGAAATGGCTTGGAGGTTAAAAACTCACCAGCAAATATTTACCAAATACCGACTGTGTTGTAAGAGAGGTAGATGACATGGAGATGCTACTCCTCCTTGATCTCCAGACACTAGGATCAGTAGAGGCAGCAGATGCCTGTCCAGATGACCTCTAACCCCTGTAGACTATGTGCTGTAGTAAACCAGGTGTTGTGGGAGATCCAGGAAGACTCCCTGGACGAGGAAGAGTTACTCAAAATCTTGGAGGATAGAAGTAGGCCTGTTACATTAAATACAGGATATTCGAGTGAATTTGAATTTCAGATAAACGATAAATAAATTTTAGTGTAAATATATCCCACTCGATATTTGGGACATACCCGTACTCAGAAAGTAGCAGTTGTTTACCTGAAATTCAAGTCCCACTGGGCATCCTGTATTTTCATTTGCTGACTCCAGGCAATCCTGTTATTAGCTGCCATGGACTCAGCTCCAACGCGTGGCAACCCCGGCGTGATGGAATGCTGCGGGCCCCAGGGTTTTCACCGACCGATTTCTGGAAGTGGGTCACCAGGCCTTTCTGCCCCATCTGCCTTAGTCTGGAAGCCCCGCTGGGTCCTGCTCAGGGTCATAGGACACGCAACCTCACTGCACCACCACGGGTGGGGCTGTGCATAGGTTCGTTGGCTGGAAATGGAATCCAGAACTCCCACGTGAAAGACAAGAGTTCTACCACTAACGCCAATGCCCCCGAGGGCCAACCCGATGCAGACCGTCCCAGCAGTGGGCACCGCAAGTGGGGAGGGAATTGGCAGCAGAGAGGCCAGCACTGGTAGAAGCACTGATGCAGCTGGGACGGGGGGTGGGGGGTGGGCACAAGGCCAGGTTGGCTGTCGAGGCAGCACCAGCCCATGGGGACTCTGGGAGCCAGGCTCTGGAGTTTGAGCTTGGCCATCAGAGGCCACTGACCTGTCTCATGGATGCCCACACACAGCCAGAGTAATGTTCTCAGACCCTCTCTCTCCCTGCTCAAGTGTTGGGTGGCTTCCCAGGTTGAACTTAAAAAAAAAAAAAAAAACATCTGAACTCCTTACCTCAACCTAAGAGACCCCGTAGAGTCCCACCTGGCCTTCTTGCATAAAATCCATCTAGAGGATTGTTGGGAGAGTTGAAAATGGCAATGTAAGACACTGGTTCCCAACTGTACGGTGAAACCACCCGAGAGCTTTAAAACAATGCAGGTGCCTGGGCGCCAATCTTGGAGCTTCTGATTTAACTGATGTGAAGTAGGCCTGGACATCTGGAGCTTCAAAAGGTTTCCAAGTGATTCCACTGTGCAGCCAAATTGAAAATAGCTGATGTGCAGCATATTCCCTGGACCACGCAAGACCTCAGTGGGGCAGAGTAGGGAGGGGGTGATCACTGTTGTTACCACATTTCCAGCTTCATCTCTCCTTCTACCTGTTTCAGCCATCAAGAACCCTATGGAGCAAATAATCTTTACACCTTAAACCCAAAATATCCCCTAAAGTCTCAGAACCACACAGGTTAGTTTAACTAGCAAAGAATCTCTGCCTTGTGCATTTGTAAGAACTGTCTAAATCCAAAAAAACAAACTCACTGCCGTCGAGTCAGACCCGACTCATAGTGACCCCTCCTTGGGTTTCCGAGACAAGATCACTACGGAAGTAGATTGCCCCATCTTCCTTCCGACAGCAGTAACTTGAAAGATCAGACAGGAACCTTAGAGGGCAGTGAGTGTATGTGAATGGGGGAGAAACACTTTGGTAAAGGAGGGTGAGATGGTTGTACAAGTTGATGGTCGGCAGTCACTGAGTCATACCACATTGTAAAAATTGTTGAATTGGTGTATGTTCTGCTTTGGGTATTCCCAACAACAACAAAAAATCAATAAACAAGAAAACCCACGGGCACAGTTCAGTTCTGACACCTACGGGGTCACCATGACTTAGAATTGACTTGCGGGCAACCGATACTGATGTTCTCTTAACTTGGCCAACACTCACTCGTCCTTCCCGTCCCAAGTCCCTCTGCTGTATCCACTCAGAATGCACCAACTTGCCCTCTGCGGCACTCGGCACACCCTGTGCTTATATTTTGAACTGAATGGTTACTTGCTTAAGGTCTCCCTTGTCCATTGTCCCCCAGAGCCGAGCACACAATGTGGGCACTCTGTCAACGTAGAACAAGCGAATGAGTGAGAATGACTGAGCACGGAGAGAAGTGATGGGATCTGCATTTCCAGAAAGATCTCTCTGGGTGCTCTTTGCCAAACGCTGGTGGGGAGGGGGAAGAAGAGGCTGAGGCCAGGACACCGGTGACCATGCAGCTCTGAAATGATGGTGCCTGCGCCAGGACAGAGGGCGTGGGATGGGTGGCGGAACTGATCTGAGTGACTCTGGAGAGGTCGAAGGCCCTGTTAGGAAAGTGAGGGCTTGGGTGGGGGATGCCATGTGACTGAGGTTTTACCCGAGGGACAGACAGGGTGACAAGATGGAACGTGATCCAAAGGAAGAGGCCGTTGCTGGCAAAGTTGATGACTGTTTTGGCCCAGTTAGGTGGGAAGTGCCTGGAGGACACGGGGGCAGGGAGGAGAGCTACAAGTCTGAGGGTGGGGACTAGAGAGGCCTAGGCGAGGGACAGGGACTGAGGGTCAGTGAGAGAGGTGAGAGTACTAACAATGCACAACAGCGAAGTTTTCCTGAAAACGTTCCTTGCCATTTCTGGAAGCAAAACCCCTGGGGTGTGGGGCATCTGTCCCCAGGAGACGTTCCTGTCCGAGGGAGGGTGTCACGGGCCCTTCCGTGTCCCCACAGCTATTCTGGGCATGCACACCCTCATGAGCAACCAGCAGTACTACCAGGCCTTGGGCAGCAGCGCCATCGTCAACAAGGAGGGACTCAACAGTGAGTACTGGGCCCCGCCAGCCTCGCGTCTGCCCGCCCCTAGGTCACTCAGGGAAGGGTGACACCTTGGAAGGGAGGGGCCCTCACCCTTCTTGTTTTCCTCTGCTCACTGATGTGCTGGCTGCTTGCAGAAGTTTTCCATTTTTTTGTAGCCAGGTCTGTCATTTTTTTTCTTTTTCACAGACTCCTGGGATCTGTATCTTGTTTACAAAGACATTTCCCCTCCCAGTATCAGAAAAAGATTTCCTACGTTTTCTCCTACGTATTGTTGTTGTTGTTATATGCCATGGAGTCAGACCCGACTCACAGCGACCCCTCCTTGGGTTTCCGAAGCAGTATCACTATGGAAGTAGATTGCCCCATCTTCCTTCTGAGGAGTGGCTGGTGGATTTGAACCACCAGCCTTCTGGTTAGCAGTCAAGTGCCTTAGGCACTATGCTACCAGAGCTCCCAAACTATGCTACTAGACTATGCTACTAGCACTCTAGACGTATTAGAGGCTTGCTTTTCTTATTCGACTTGCTGTCCCACCTGAAGTTCATGCATGTGTGTGGTGTGAGATGGAATCGAACGTTCATTTTCTTTTCTTTTTTATTGTGATTTGGGTGAAGGTTTACAGAGCAAATTCACTTTCCATACAGTGGTTCGCATATACTTTGTCTCATGACACTGACCACAGTTTACCACAATACAACAGCTCCCTCCCACTTCCTCCCCATAGTTACCTCTTCCCAGTGTCCATCCCTCCATACACTCCTGCCCCCTGAGCTGTCTCCCTGTGCATAAGCAGCCCTTCTTTCTCCCAGGATTGTTCTCTCCAAGGAGAGTATCTACTTGAGGTAAATGTTCAACTCATATGCCTGTCTTTTGTTTGGCTGGAAACCACAGGTGTGGGTTCAATTTCAGACCTGAAGGGCAGCTAGGGGCCATAGTCTCAATGGTTCCACCAGACTCTATCGGACCAGCAAACCTGGTCCCCTCCTACTTTTTTTTTTTTTCCTCCAAATGATTTTGAGTTTTGTTCCACATTGTTCTCCCTCTCTATCAAGGATTTCCTACATAGATCCCCTTGCAAGTGGATGACAGTGGTAGCTGGGCACCATCTAGGTCTTCTGGTCTCATAGTCATATAGGCTGCAGATCAGATGGTGTACCAGTCGCTAGGACTAATTGTTTCCATGAATTTTTGGTTTTCTTCATTCTTCTTTGCTCTGGACGAGGAGAGACCCATCATTGCATCTAGATGGCAGCTTGCTAGCTTTTAAGATCCCAGTTGCTACTCGCCAAAGTAGGAGGTGGAACAATGTTTTGTATAGTATGTTATGCCAATTGAGCTTGATGTCCCCTGTGACTATGGTCCCAAGCCCGCAGGTTCAACTGCTCTGTCTCTCTGGGTAGCTGGCTGTGACCAAGCAGTGACCACAACCTTGCCCCTTGTCAGCTCTACTATACACCTGGGAATTCTGATCATTCACATAAACTTATAGGACCATTGTCTGCCAACCCTATATATGTTCTTGGATACACTCCCCATTTCATAGACATACCTAATCGTTCAGCCTGTCCACCCATCTATCCACCCATATACCCATGTTTGCCTTCACTGACAACACAGTACTGTATGTGCAAAAGGGTTCATATTTGTTGTCTGTACCTCCCATGTAACTCTCTATGTCTTTCTCATCCTCAATGCTGCCATATTGGTCACTCACATTTTGTACATTGCCCTTCTCTTCACCCAAATCAATACTTACCTCTATCTATCTAACAGCGTTCCCTCCCCTCCCCTCCCACCCCTGGTAACCAGCAAAGAAAATTTCCTTCTATAGATAAACACGAATGTTCATTTTTCAATGGCTGGTCACGTGTCCCGGCCCCGGTTTCTGAATAGTTCATCCTTTCCCCGCTGTTCTGGGGCCGCCCCTTTATCATCATTTTCTGCGTACCCACTGTTTCTAGGTGTCCCTTCTGCTCCATGGGTCCGTTGTTCTTTCCTGTGCCAGTATGGCATCGTTTTCATTACCCCCCTGCACTGCTCCCAGGCTGGGGTGTGGGCCCCTAAGAGGAATGGGGCGTGCCACAGGAACAATGACCCCTCCCTTCTGGAGCAGGCTTGGGGTTATCCCTGCAAGAGCCCACTGAGCTAATGAGCACAATAGAACGGGTGTCCTCACTTTACAGACAGCAACACTAAGGGTCAGAAAGCTTAGGCCGTTGCAGGACATGGTCCAAGTGCAGCCCAGGCCTCCTGGCCCCCTGAGCAGTGCTCTTTCCACAGTCTCCCCTCTCCTGGCTGCCCCTGAGATGCACAGCTGTCGCTTGTCCCTGCGCTCTGCTGGTGCTTCCTTTCAGCGTCCTTGTGTGCTTTCAGCGTCCTTCTGTCCTTTTGGCGTCCTTATGTTTATGTGAGCTCCCTGCCATTCATCAGTCGCTCTGTCTAGGTGTGATCAAACCGACACAATACAAGCCTGTGCCCGACGAAGAACCAAATGCAACCGACGTGGAAGAAACACTGGAGCGGATAAAGAACAATGACCCAGAGCTGGGAGAGGTTAACCTCAATAACATCCGGGTAAGTCCTTTGATTTCACTTCATGGGAAAGCCGTGTCCATGCCCCACACCAGTCAGATACACATGGACCCGGCTTGGCCAGGCACGGTGGACTGAGTTCTGTGCAGGCTCGGGGTGTTTCTGGATAGGGACTATGGGCAGAGCCTTGCCAGTGGGGGTGTTTGAGAAGGGTGGACAGTGCAGACGAACATCAGGCTCAGGTGTTCACCGTGCGCCAACGTGGCTCTGCTCTGAAACCCTCCATGCTCAAAACCTTGAGGTTCTCTGAGATGCAACCGTGAGGGAGACAGGCATGCTGCACCAGGGTCTGAAGCTCGGGCATCCTAGCGCCCACCAGACTCAGCAGCAGTGGGGGAGCTCAAGCCTTAAGTGGAGGCTCCCTGTGAAACCTGCCCCCCTGAACCATCACCGCTGCTGTATCATGTTCCTAGTCAACCTCACTCTGCAGCCCAGGAGGGACCCATTGGTCCAAGTGGCCAAAGTGCTTTTCCAAGTTCTCTGCCTGTATTTCTCTGTACATCTCCCCATGTGGCCACCAGGGACAGAGGCAGGACAGATGGACGGGCACTCCCACCCTGGACAGGCTGCAGGAGGAATTCAGAAGCAAGCACAGCTGCCCTCCCACCTGCTCTGCTCCCAGGCCTGTGGGATTAGTTCTGGGAGGGGCGGGGGTAAGATAAGAACCTGGGCCCCCAGCCCCTCCTCTTTCCTTTCTTCTCCATTTTCCTTTAAGTGGCTGCCAGCCCCACAGTACAGTCAGATAGGAAACCTGCACCCTGTGTTCTTCTCCATGCTCCGCTCCCAGAGGAAGCTAAAATGACACCCCGAAATGAGAGACGGGTGAAAACACAGCCAGGGTCTCTCTCAGGTGCCTCAGTTGTCTGCCATGTGGCCAGTGGGAGGCTGGCACAATTCAGAATTGTGTGGCTGGTGGTGAGTGCCTCCCTGGAACCGTGTGGGAAATTTTTAAACATACCAATGCCCAGCCCACTCTCAGAGATTCTGATTTCATTGCTCTGGGCAGGCTCCAGGCATCAGCGTTGTGGAAAAGTTCCCAGGAGCCTCTGAGGTACACCCTGGGCTGCGAGCCCCTGGAACAGACATCTCTTAGCAGTCATCTCACGCAACCCCTCCAGCATGTTTTCCAGAAATAGGGCAAGAGAGGGAAAGAGTCAGCCAGCAAGTCAGAAACACAGCCAGGGCACAGGCCAACCCCCAGGCCCCCGTCCTGACAACGCCCCTCTGAGCCCCCTGCCTTCAGTGTTTCTCCTCCTCTGGGCTCCACATGCAGAGGAGTGGCAGGTCTTATTTGAAATGTTCAGGGAGAGTTATCTGTTTAGCAGAAGTTCTAGGGCAAAGCCAGGGAGCAGGCCCAGCTGAAACCCTTGGCCACTCAGCCTTTTGGTCAAGATTTGGCCAGGAATCCGTGAAGCGCAGCTGCCCCAGGTCGGGGGCTTCCAGTCACTGCGGGCCTTTCTCTCTGCAGAATATCCCCATACCCACCCTCAAGGCGTACGCAGAAGCCCTGAAAGACAACTCATATGTGAAGAAGTTCAGCATTGTTGGGACGCGGAGCAATGACCCCGTGGCATTTGTACGTACCTTTCTGTTCCGCTGCATTGAGGTTGGGGGCATAGGAACACCAGGGCTCACACTGGCCTCCTGACTGGTGTACCCCGTGGATGAAGAACTCCTGCACGGTGTGGTGAGAAGGCATTGGGCTAAGAGCCAGGAAAGGGGGCACAGACAGGAGGGCCCTCACCCAGGCTCAGTGCATTGGCCCAGTTCACCCTCATGACCGTCCCCTGATCACAGAAGTGCAGGTGGAGATCTTGAGGTTCAGAGAGGTCAGGTAACTTACTTGGCCCAAAGTCCACAGCAGGTAGAGCTGCGATTCAAATGCAAGCGGTGTGAACACTAAAACCAGGTCACTGTCCACTCAGTGCATCCCAGCAGGGACTGCCGGGCTGCAGCTCTCCGGCTTGAAGGCCAGGTCTTCATCAGTGGTCCCATGGCCAATTTTATTTTATTTTTTCCCCACATCCTAAAAGTTGTTGTGTTGAAATTAAATTGTATATATTATAAAGTAGCCAGGAATTCTCAAAAAATACTCACTACATGTGTAAGAGACTCTCTGTACCCAGAACTGAATTCGGCTCTGGGACTATGACTGTGAACCCCTGGCCTTACAGAGGTGACAGCCCATTTTACAGTGTGATGACTGTAACACTAAGAGCAGGTTAGAAGTGCAGGAATCAGCTAACGGGGGGTTGTAATAAGGTTGTAAGAAGGAGTCAGTTCTTCCTAATTTTTAAAATAAGTAGGACAATTGTCTTCAATAGTTTTGAAATCGATAAATAGCTCACAGTCTCCCTTTGCTGCCTTGGGAGCCCCAGTGGGAAACCCCTGGCCAGACGACCCCTGACTGCAGGAGCTCACCAATGGACGCTGAGTTTCCCCTGGAGACACTACTGCAAAGTTACAGGCGCTGTCTGCTGCTATCCACTGATTGGAATCCAAGCACATCCATGCTGGTCTCAGTTCCACCCCATGAATGTTATTGGGCACTGCTCCTGTGCCAGGCTAACAGCTGACATCAGCCCGCTCACACCCATGTATCCACAGTCAAGTACTGAAATGTGTCAACGTTCTGCAAGTGCCCCCCACTGCCTGCCGCAGCTCCTCTCCTAAACTCTAGTTCCTTACCATGACTAATAACCAAAAACTTAACATCTGGCAAGGCAGGGGCCTCAAGGACCCTGCTCAGCCACCAGCATGTCCCTCTGACTGGCCTAGTGCACTTGCCTAAACCAAACACAATCAAACCCTCGGCATAGTCAATTCCAACTCACAGCGCCCCTAGAGGACAGAGTAGAACTGCCCCATAGGCTTTCCAAAGCTGCAAATCTTTATAGAAGCAGACTGACACCTCTTTTCCGAGTGGCTGGTGGTTTAAACTTCCAAAGTTTTGGTTAGCAGATGAGCACTTAACCACTGCGTCACCAGGGCTCATTGTACACTTACCTACTGGTTGTTAAATATAGCGATTGTGAGTGCAGGCTAAGCATTTCCTGGTTGGGGGAGGGAAGGATGTGAAGGGCACAGAGAGGACACAGACTAGGTCCCCTCCCTTGGGGGAAGGGTGACCAGTCTGCTCAGGGAGACACATGATCTCACAGAGAGCTGGCATGCCATCCTGGACTCAGTGACTTAGGAGAATCAACTGCAGGGCAGTGGGTTTGGTTTTTTGGTTTGAGGAAGGAGTGGCGACTTCAACAAGGAAAGCTCCTGGGGAGGTGGCTTTGATCTGAACCTCAAGGGGGGGTTTCAGCAAGCAGGGAGAGTGGGGTGGGACTTCCAGGCTCCAAGTGTCCCCTCAGACAAACAGGCCCCTCTGACGTGTCCATCCTGTGGCTTCGCTGCTCGTCACTTCGTCACCTCGTTCCTTCCAATGCTCTGATTGTCATCGACACTCCCTGGCTGGATTCCCCTGAAATGTGCAGGGAACCTGAGCTGTCCCCCCGACACATAGCCCTGTTCCCCTGCCCATTAGGAAAACAAAAACGGGGGGCTGTTTCCCAGACCCACTTCCCCCTTCCTCTTCTGCTCAGATGAAGAAAATGATCCATGGGATTTCAACGGGGAAACAGAAGAGGGAAGTGGACAGTATATGGCGGGTATTGGGACTCCGTAAGTCACTCAATGACTATTGACTGGAGACCTACTGTGTGCTGGCACTGTGTGGGCCTTGAGGGCAACACAGGAAAAAAGAGATACATTTTCAGCCTCCCATGAGCGAATAGTGTAATGGCAGAGAGAGCACCAGTATGGAAACAACTCTTAACACAGTGGAATGAGAGTTCCAGGAGGGAGGTTACAGATACATTCTCTGGGGCTCAGGAGGACAGCTGGAGACATCAGCAAAGTCTCTGAGAGACAGGGGCATTTGAAAGTGGCCTTGCAGGATGAGGAGGGTTTGAAGGAGACAGAAAGGAGAGGGCGTCCAAATCCAGTGACAGGATCAGCAGAGGTGGGGCAGCAGGATGGCACTGGGCAGACCCGGGGAGCCACGCATCGCCCCACCATCAGGGAGCGGCGGGCGCAGCTGCACAGGGCCCTAGACCAGGCACAGAAGGCTTTGAGTGCAGCCTGAGGAGCGCGCTAGGGAGCGCGGCGTTATCCAGGAGCCACGGCAGGTCGAGGAAGGAGAGACGGAGTTGTGCTGGAGTGACGGCCAGCGTTGAGTAGATGAGGACCTCTCTCCTGCGAGGCTGTTTGGGTTCTCTGGGGCTACTAGAACAGAACCACCACAGATGGATGGCTCTAACAAACAGGTTTACTCTCTTACAGTTTAGGAAGCTACCAGCCCAAGTGCAAAGTGTGAGCTCTAGGGAATTGGTGAAGACCCCTCAAACCTTGGGCTTCAGCTCTGCCTCTTACTCCTGGCCCAGTTAAGGTTTCTCTTAACTCAGGCAGCTGCCAGCCACTAAGGCTGCCCAAGGTGGACAAGGGAAATGGCACAGTCCCAAGATACCAAGGGACACAGTAGACCATTAGTTCAAGTCCAGAAACAGTCCAAGATTGGCAGACAACATGGCAGGCCACTGAGACGAAGACTCGGCCAAATGCAAGATCCGGATGTGCCAAAAAACTAGAGACCTTTCTCAAAGCTGCTTCTTATAGACACCCTAAGGCAGCTACTCAGCTGCTCCAATAGATCGCATCATGGAGATGATTACCAGGCTCATCATGGGGAATCACTACATTCAGCTGCCCAGCCCCTCATAAGCAGGCCCAGCCAACTTGACACCTAACCTCAACTACCACACAGGCCCTCTCAGTATTTTAGAATCGACCCAGAAGGGGTTCCAGCCTTGCTCCACGTGACCCCAGCACTCATTCTTTCCCTGGTTCCAGGCCCTTGCTGACATGCTCAAAGTGAACAAGGTGTTGAAGACACTGAACGTGGAGTCCAACTTCATTTCTGGAGCTGGGATCCTGAGACTGGTAGAAGCCCTGCCACACAACACTTCTCTAGTGGAGCTAAAAATTGATAACCAGGTAGGACGGGGAGGAGCCTCCTTGGGTCTTTGACGTCCAAAGCTTGTCATGCTCTGCTTTTCCTGCATGCTGCCAGACAGATCAGTGATACTGGTTGTGGACCCCCAGGAGCCCACCTTTAAGGGATCTCAAAGATTGGTCAGTCTGCACGTCTGCACCATGCTCAGCTCTTTCTTCATCCTTCCCACCAAGTGTTCTTCCAGCTTCTGCTTGTTCACACCCAACGATGGGGGCTCACTCCTCACCAAGATCACCCCCTATTCTGGGACAGTGCCAACTATGAGAATATCCTTCCTTGTATTAAGTAGAAATCAGCTCCCTGTAAGTCTTGTTTGATGGGCTTAGTTCTTCCTTCTGCTGCCCACAAGACACACCTAGGCACAGATCTCAGAAACCATTGACATCTTCTCATTCACAGCCTGCTATTCCCACCCCATTTGACGAGCCTTTGAGTCCCCTCTATCCAGTGTAAATTCTCTGAGAAAATTCTAGCTTGTCCTTATCCTTATGGAGTCATGATTTCTCTGTGACTTCTGTGGTTCAGTCATTTATCTTCAGGACAGCTCTTCCAGTTCTGACTTTCTGAGAAGGCGCCACCCACCCCCAGACCCCTCATCCCCTCCCCTTTTATTGAAGGCAGGGCGGGTGGAACAGATGGACAAAGGCACAGACGTAGCTACGGCCTTGGGCCTAACCCTGGGATTGGCTACTCATTTGACTCTGGGCCTGGCCAGGCAGAGAGTCAGGGACTCTCCCAGCATCAGCTAAAATGTGACCCATGGGGCAGAATGTTGGCCAGAACTGCCCCAGAGCTCTGGCCTCAGGTCACGGTGGTGGCAGTTAACAAGGAACCAGCTGCCTACCTTCCCTCTTCTGCTGTCGCCTCAGAGCCCAGAGATGGAGCCAGTGCCAAACACTCTGGTGTGAGAACATTCACCTCTTTGGCCTCAGTTTCCTTCCCTGGAAAATGGGGATAATAAGACTCCCTGCTCCTGAGGTGGTAATATGTCGATTATAAGGTTGTTAACTTTGATAGTTACTGTGAAGGTGATCCAGGGAGTTCACACATTATTCTAAGAGCGGAGTTACTGAGCAGTCACAATGCTTCCTGTGTGTTACCTCTTCTAATGCCCACAAGGACCTTGTAAATGGGTATGAAGACCCTCGTTTTACAGATGAGGGGGCTGAAGGCCAGGCAGACTAGGTAACCTGCCCGGGTCACACAGTCAATGGCAGAGCTGGAACTTGAACCCAGGGCGGTGTGACTCTGAAGTCCGTGGACTGTGCTTGTCTGGTTCTTAAAACCAGTTGATGTTCACGTGAGCTTAGGTTGGCTTTCTCGTCTGTCCCTTCCCCCTGGTAAGAGGCCAGTGCCCCCAGGAGACATTTTTGAGGTTCACCTCCACATTTAGTGAGTGCTGGTTGCACACCAGGGCTGTGGGGCTGGGCTCTGGCCTCCAGGGCCTCCCACTGGACGGCAGGAAATGCAGGCAGAAATGTCTGTCACCCAAGGTGCTCGAGCAAACCACAGATAGCGGGGCCCTCCGTCAGGAGCAGGGCCAGGGAGGGATTCTTGGAGGAGGTGGAGTTTGAGACACACCCACAGGGTGGACAGGATCTCAGAACATGAGATGGAGACTGTGACACCCCAGACGGAGGGACCACAGGAACAAAGAGGAGCAGGAAAGCCGTGGAGCCCGTGTAGAAACTAGTGGCAGCCCCAGGCGCCTGGTGGAAGACAAACCGGAAAGGGAATTGGGAGTCTGAGGGCTGGGAGTGGCAGGTGTAGGGAGAGTGGGCTGTGGGCTGTGGGCTGTTGTCTGCACCAGTCAGAGCTGAGCTCTGGGGAGATGCTTCTGGCTAATGGGAGAGGGCTGGGACAGGGGGCAGACAGCCTCAGGGCCGGGGAACCCAGCAAAGAGCAGTGGCCCAGAGAGGAGGCATGGACCTGTGGGGAGCATGCGCTTCCACAACGGGAGTCGGGATTTGGGCCTGGCCCAGCAGAGTGAGGGAGGGGTGGGACAAAGGGCTCTGGGGAAGGGGCTCTGCTGGTTCCAGGTTCAGGGAAAGGCCACTTGCACCCCTCACAGAACATTCCAGAAGGCCTCGGGATAGCAAGCCCTCCCCTTGGGTGCCCCAGCTCTGGAGTGTATGACAAAGAGGAGGTGGTGAGTGGCAGCTGATTTATTCCTCATTCTTGGTTAGTCACCGAGGTCTTCGCAGGCCAGAGCTTCCCCTCAGCGTCTGTGCTTGTAACCTGTGTCAGTGAGCCTCCAGCCTCCTTCCTTATACGGCCAAAGAAAGGGACTTGAGGAGTTCTACCCAGAGTGACACGACGACTCATGCTCCGACTCAGGACCCAGGACCCCAAGGCCATTTGTTTACCCAGCCAGTCCCTCGTGATCTCCCAGCAGAGCTCTGCTGCTGCAGGAAGGTGTCAGGATTGCCACGAGACTGCAGTGAAGGCGGGAAGGGCATCCAGGGCCCTGCCCCGACTGAAGGGCTCTGAGGACTCAGCTAGGCTGTCCCTTCCTTTACACCTGGGGACACTGAGGATCAGCGATGGGAAGGGCCTGCCCGTGGTCACTAGCAGATCCAGTTAGTATCAGAGATGAGTCGGGATTGAGGTGTCCTGGATCCCAGACAGGCTGGATTGATCAATGGACGGGAGAGACCCCCTCTGCCCCCAGGGAGTAGACCCCACAGATGGGGGGCCCTGCATGCAGGCTCTCTCCTGTCCCAAGCAGGCCATATCCGACCACTGACCCTCTGCTGCTCTTGACTCACCCTTTCAATCTCCACAGACTCCCCCCCAGGACCCTCAGGGCACTAGGCATCCTCCCTGCCCCTCAGAGCAGATAAGGCCTGGAAACCTGAGCCCCACAATGCTGCTGCAGTGTCTGAGGGCATCGGGCCAGATTTCTCACTTTTCATTCCAATTTGATAAACAGGGTCCCTAGCCACTCCTCGGAAGGAAGGTTGGGCAATCCTACTTCCGTAGTGATACTGCCTCGGAAACCCAAGGAGGGGTTGCTATGAGTCGGGGCCGACTCGACGGCAAATAACAACAACAGCAACAAAGGTACTAAGGGAGGATGTGCTTAATATTTAGAAAAGAACTAGATGAAGTGGCTTGTACTCTCTTGTCCAGGTGCCATTAGTTCCTGAGTGGAGATCAATTTAGAAAGAAAATAAAAGGACCCTGGAGGTTTTCACATACGGCGACACCTCCTTAATTTCTGATTAGAGCAGCTGGCTCACTTTATTTCAAATGAGTCTGAATATGACTTTTTGTTTTGCAAAACATACTCACTCCTCACTTAATGATGTGGTTAGCTTCCAAAGACCAGGTCATTATATGGTGGCATAGCGCCTAAGGCACTTGACTGCTAACCAGAAGGCTGGCGGTTCAAACCTACCAGCCACTCCTTGGAAGGAAGGTTGGGCAATCTACTTCTGTAGAGATACAGCCTTGGAAACCCAAGGAGGGGTTGCTATGAGTCGGGACCGCCTCCATAGCAGTGAGTTTGGTTTTTTGAGTTATAGCTGTGTAACAAATTACCACAAAATTTAGTGACTTAGAACAATAAACATGTGTTATCCATGCTTTCAGAGGGTCAGAGTCTCAGAGTCCAGGAGCAGCTTAATTGGGTGGTTCTGGCTCAGGAGCTCTGGTGAGGTAGCATTCGAGATGTTAGATGAGGCTGTAGTCATTTGAAGGCGTGACTAGGTTGACGGAAGGCCTCAGGTCTTCATTGGCTATTCAGCAGAGGCGTCAGGTCCTCACTGGCTGTTGGCTAGAAGCCTCAGTTCTTTGCCACTTAGACCTCTCCATGGGGTTGCTTGAGTGTCCTCACTGCATGACAGCTAACTGCCCCCAGAGTGAGTGATCCAAAGTGGAGAAAGACAGTCACCAGTGCATTTCATGGCGTTGGCCTTGGAAGTTAACACCAGTCACCTCTGCCACATTCTGTTTGTTAGAAGTGATTCACTAGGCCAGCCCAAACTCAGGTGGAGGGAATTAGGCTCCGCTTTTGGAATGGAAGAATATCAAAGAGTTTGTGGACATATTTTAAAACCACCACGGTGAGAATCATCTCTCTCTGTTGTGTAGTGGAAGTTTGTCAAGGAAGGCCTTTCTAGTCAGCAGAGCTACCCAGTGCCTCCAGGGGTAGGGAGCTCCCCTCACGGGGCGTGTGCAGCAATCTGGCAGCTGTGATGGGGAGGGAATTTTAATAGCGGCAAGGGTCTGGGATCTGGAGTTGGACTAGATCGTGCTCCAGGGTTCCTTTCAGTTATATTTCCAAGTATTCCAGGATGTCCATATCTTCTGGACAATAAAGGAAAAGCCCCACTTGGCCACACCAAACGTGCAAAGTGAGCTTCTTGATGTTGCCGATGCCTCTGTTCAGAGCAGGGTCTCGGAGCCACGAGCCCCAGGGCACAGCTCCATTCCCCAGGGCTGCTGAGTGTTCTGTTAAATTGAAAACCGGATCATTTCCAGCATCAGATCGGTGAGCCCTGTCAGCTAAAGGGCATGCCAATGGTAGTATCCTTTGCAAGGGCAATGGCGTCACTGTTTCAGCTGCTAACTGAAAGGCTGGAGGCTTGAGGCCACCCAGAGGTGCCTCAGGAAAAAGGGCTGGTGACGCACTTCCAAAAACTTAGCCGATAAAAACCGCGGCGCGTAGGTCTGCTGTGACGCAGCCAGGACCACCGTGAGTGGGAGCTGACTCCACAGCAGCTGGTGTGCCGTCTTGTTTAAAACGTGCCATCCTCTAAGCCATCTACTCTGAAGTCCATAGCAGCACAGTCTGTAATAGGAAAAGATGGAAGTAACTTCCGTATCCCTCTACACCAAGGCACACCACCAAGCACTGGGAAGGAGTGAGGCAGTTCCACGCGTCCTGACGTAGAGAGGTCTCCAGAAAGTATTAAATGAAAAAGGCAAGAGTAACAACTACAGTCTGAATCCATTTTAAGAAGAAAAAGTACCCAAAAAGCCTCCCCTGGATGTTTCTGGACATCCATGCCCAAGAACACCTGGAGGGACACACCGCATTGGCATGGTGGCTCCTTCTGCAGAAAGGGCGTGGGGCTGGGGGTAAACTGTGTGAGGGACCCCTCCCTTTTCACTTCATCGGCTTTTGTGCCATTTGAGTTTTTAATCAGTTTACTCACCAGTTGTTTATGTAGCTTTTGAGCACACAGCTAAAGGGGGCAAGAGTTCTTCCCTGACCACCCTCTTCCTGCCTTTGCTGTCCAGATTCTGCTGCTGTTGCCCGTCCTGGTACGGCCAGCCTCTTGGTCTCTCCCCAAGGTGTTCCTCGTTGCCTTTCACCCACTGTTGAGGTCGTCTTGATTTTTTTTTTTAAATGCCATCCAAGCAAGCTATTCATAGACTCACAGAAAGCAGGCCCCAGGGACCTTACAGGTCACAGGGCCTAAGCCTTCCCCATTCATGGTGACATCTAGAGAGGCCCTGACGACAAGTGGTCTTCCCTGTCTTGTACACCTCCAGGGACGGGCAGTGTACTGCCTTACAAGGCAGCCCCTTCATCTTGCAGCCACATCCAATGCTTATATAGCAATCCTACATGCTGAGGCAACACCTGCCTGCCCGCAGCTTCTCTCCGCAGCCCTCCGTCTGCCTTCTGAGCTCTCTCTGAGGCAATGCAGTGAGCTCTGAACTAGCTCATGCTCTGGAGCAAACTTCCTGAGTTCAAATCCTGGTGCTGCAACTGACTAGCTCTGTGATTTGGGCAATGTTTCTTAATATCTCTGCTTCACTTTCCTCATCTATAAAATGAAAATTATAGTGGTGGTGTTAGGTGCCACTGAGTCAGCTCCGACTAATGGCAACCATATGTACAACAAAATGAAACATGGCCTGGTCCTGCACCAGCCTCAAGATCCTTGCTATACCTGAGCCCATCGCTGCAGCCACTGTGTCAATCCATCTCGTTGAGGGCCTTCCCTTTTTTTGTTGACCCTCCACTCTTCCAAGCATGATATCCTTCTCCAGGACTGGTCCCTTCTGACAACATGATCAAAGTAGGTGAGACAAACTCTGGCCATTCTTGCTTCCAAGGAGCATTCCAGCTGTACTTCTTCCAGGACAGATCTGTTAGTTCTTCTGGCAATCCATGGTACTTTCAGCATTCTTCACCAGCACCACAACTCAAAAGCATCAAATCTTCTTCGGTCTTCCTTATTCACTGTCCACCTTTCAGGTGCAAATGAGGCAACTAAAAATACATGGGTTGTGTTAGGCACACCTTAGTCTTCAAAGAGACATCTTCACTCTTCAGCACTTTAAAGAAGCCTTTGCAGCAGATTTGCCCATTGCAATACGTCATCTGATGTCTTGACTGCTGCTTCCATTGGTGTTGATTGTGGAACCAAGCAATATGAAATCTTTGACAACTTCAGTCTTTTCTCCATTTATCATGATGCTGCTTATTGGTCCAGTTTGAGGATTTTCATTTTAAAGAAAATGAAAATTATAATAATAGTACGTGTTTCATAGGTTATAGCAAAGAGAGAATGAGTTAGTTTATGAAATGTGCTCGGGAAATCACCTGACATGCAGTAAGGACTAAATAAGTATTTGGAAAACATTAGGGGTTTAGTCATGACTTCTTCTTCCTCATCTGCGAAGCAAGTGAGTCCTTGCAGTCTCGAGGTCCCCGGAGGTGGGAGGAGGGCTCTGAGAAAGAAGTAAGAATGCAGCTGCTTTGACCTTGAGGCTTATTTTACAAATGGTATTTGTTCCATTTTATTCTTTTCTAATATAAGAAGAATGGTTCCATTCTAAAATGAACACTCTGCAAAGATGGGTGGGGATTCTCTGATGGAACCCCCTTGCACATGCTCAGACACATCTCCATGTATCCCAGGGATATGGGATCCTACTTGGAGAACGTGGAGCCTGGGAACACTCTGAAGCCCTTCCAGCCACAGGCAGAGGTCAAGCGTTGGCTTTGTCACTAATAAGCTGAGGGCCATGGTCCTTTTCCCTCTAAGCCTCAACTACCTCATGTTTAAACCAAAGAGATTGGACCTCTGGTTCTCATAATTGGCTGCCTATTGGAATCACCTGGGAGTTGTTAAACTATGATGGTCTAAGTGCCACCTGCAGAGATTCTGATTCAATTAGTGTGAGGAGGGGAGTGGCCTGGGCAGCAGGGCTTTTGAAATTCCCCCAGGACTAGGGGTGACTGGAAGGTCCTCCCTGCTCAAATGCTCCAGGGTTTACCTGTTGTGGAGTTCTTGCCTGGATGCCTGCTCAGTGAGGGGCTGTGATGGGGCCGTGGAAAAAGCTGGGTTTGAACCAGTCACTCTGACTGTGTGACCCTTCAACTTCTCTCAACACTCATCTCCTTGCTCTTGGACAGGGACTTAAATTCTGTGCCCTGCCCACCACTCAGGGTCCCTGCATGTTGCCAAGGTGGCTTGGGCGCTGTATGAAGGGAATGAATGGTGATTTTGCATCTTTTCTTGACCAAAGAGCCAGCCCCTGGGCAACAAAGTAGAAATGGAGATTGTGAGCATGCTGGAAAAAAACACAACGCTTCTCAAATTCGGCTACCACTTCACCCAGCAGGGGCCGCGGCTGCGGGCGTCCAATGCAATGATGAACAACAATGACCTCGGTGAGTGGAAGCATGCTACCTGCCCACTGCCTTGCATCCCTGACCTATGCTGGGTGTGTCACAAAAGCCCACTGGAACCCTCTGCCAGGGTGCCCTCTCCATGTGCCCAGCCCATGGAGATCATGTCTTCCTTGTTTTCCATCAGTGTTTGTGCCTTGTCCCCTCCCCTAGACAGTGAGCTTCCTAAGTGCCAGGGTGGGGCCAGGTCCTCTCCTTGTCCCAGCAGCGGTGCTCAGGGCAGGGGCTAGGCCCAGAGCTCACACTCAGCACATCTGCTGAACACAATGAAACTTGGAGTATACAAGTCCTACCTACGAGTCTTTACTTCTCAATCTCTTCAAGCCCTGAAGAGTTTTCTCGAGATCATACAATGTCTAGCCCCCAATCCCAAAGCATTATAACCAAAATCCTAGGCCTAGGAGACATCACATTACTTTGAAGGTAAAAGTTGAAAAGTTGCCTTCCACAGTAAAGTAAAAGCAGATTACATTCATTTAACCTAAAGAAAATGTCAGTCTTTCTTATGAGTATATGTCAATGAGGTACACAAGTCAACTGAATGAAAATACTGATCAGCCACCAGTGACTTCCAGCCATGGCAACTGTCCGCCAGCTGTCACGTGAAATTACTATGTGAATCCTGCTGGAGGCTAAAAAGTACCTGATGTCGTTATCAATGAAGGAAGTACGTCTGATGAGGCCAGAGGAAAGCAGGAGACAGTCAAGACCAGGAAAAGGATAGTGTCAACTATCCTTTTAGTGACACTAGTCCAATAGTGTCAACATGACAGTCTATGTATTTAGCCAAGAGGTCCACAGGACCAAGGCCAAAGGAAGACAAAGCAATTTATATTGCAGTTCTTACTGCAGAGAAGGAAGCACAATGAGGTTCTTAGAAAACGTTTTTCTGCATTTAAATCATGAAATAAGTATATTTTACAAAGGACATTGTCTCAGCAAGTTTTCATCAGATGTAGACCTGCTGTACACATGGCTCCTTTTGGTTTTCAACCCTCAGTCAAACGCAAAGAGCTTGACACTGAAGCACAACTCAGAGTTCAGGGGTGTCACTTCCTGGTGGTTAATGTGAGGCGAGGTGAGCACAAGAAGGCCCTTGAAGATGGGAGGTGTATGGCGTGCACACACAGGCAGGTACCCCCAGAACCTGTATGTATACTTAAACACTCTGACACTCACATACACATTAGACTGAGTCCCTCAGTTCAACAAATATTCATCAAGTCCTACATGGTGTTGCCACCACTTGTCTGTCAGTCTGTTGTACTGTGGTGACTTGCGTGTTGCTTGTGAGGCTGGAGGCTGTGCTGCTAGTATTTCACATCCCAGCGGGGTCATCCATGGTGGACAGCTTTGGTGGAGCTTCCAGACTAAGACAGACTAGGAAGAAGGAAAGGGCCATCCACTTCTCAAAAAGAAAAAACGTTGGCCAGTGAAAACGTATGAATGGCAGTGAAACACTGTCTGATCTATTACTAGAAGACTGTGTGGACAGCCCTGAAATGCTGTCTGATACAGTGCTGGAAGATGAGCCCCTCAGGTTGGAAGGCACTCAGAGTACGACTGGGCAAGAGCTGCCTCCTCAAAGTAGTCGGCCTTAATGATGTTGATGGACTAAAGCTTTAGGGACCTCTATTTGTGGATGGGGCACAACTCAAAATGGGAAGAAATTAATAATTGGAACATGGAATGTATGAAGTGTGAATCTAGGAAAATGGGAAGTTGCCAAAAATGAAATGGAACACATGGGCTCTGGTAGGACCCAAGAATACCAGAGCTGGAGGGGACTCAGGAGCTCATCCCATTCAATTCCCTTATGGAGAAACTGAAGCCAGGCGAGGGGAATTTCTAGGCAGTGGCTCAGGTCACGTCAGGTGTTAACTAACTGAACCACTATTGTATGCGTGGGCTGGACTGGGTGACGGGAGGGGTGGCAGAAAACGCAGGAAGCCTAGTTAGTTCTCTCACTCAGGAAGCCATATGACCTTTTAGGGGAGAAATGTCTCAAACACGTGTCCAAAAATTCAAGAATGCTTATGACCTGTATCAAAACAGAGTGAAGAAATGATTTATGGGGACATGTGCCAGTTAAGTGAGAATGGCCAGATTTTGTCTCAGGTACTTTGGTTGTGTCAGAAGGGGCCAGTCCTCGGAGAAAGATACCATGCTTAGGGGGTCAGTGAAAGGGGGAAGACCCTCCATGAGCTGGATTGATACAGTGGCTGCGACAGTGGGCTGAACCATAGCGGGCATCGTGAGGACGGTGCAGAGCCGGGCAGTGTTCGTTCTGCTATAGACAGGGTCACCAGCATCGCGGCCCACTCACGGCCCCTAACAACAGGCCAGTGAAGGAAGTGGGCGGGAAATGAAAACGGTGGCAGTTGCCTGGACAGGGATGACGTGTGATAAAACTGGGTCTCTGGGTGGCTCACCCGGTTAAGTACTTGGCTAGTAACCAAAAGGTTGGTGGTTTGAACCCACCCAGAGGCGGTTTGGAAGACAGACCCCGTGATCGGCTTCTGAACGGCCACGGCCTTGGGAGCTCTGTGGAGCACAGCTCCACCCTGCAGCTGCTAACTGGAGTCCCGTGATCTGGAACAGACCCCGACAACGAGTTTGGATTTGGGGGTAGGGGTCACTGAGTCAGAATCAACTCGATGGTGCACAACCCCTTTCCCCGAACTAGCCACGCTGCTCCCTTGGGGAAGTAGGAAGCGGAGCGGAACCATTCAGAGGCTGGTTAGTGGTGTAGGGTTTCTGGCTTTAAACACAAATGTGTGCCCATCCGCTCACTGTAGCTTGGATGTCTTACGGTGCATCACCATCTTCCTGGAAAGGGACATCCAGACTTCCTTTCCAACACAGCACTTCCATCCTGCTGTGGGTGCAACAGGCTTCCGTGTTTTCCAGCTAGGTATTTTCATCAGGAGAGCTCCCTGCCGGGCCCTCCCCAGGCTCTGTGATTGGTGGCTCTGCGGCTGGCAGCAGGGCTGCGGATTGGCCAGGGAGCAAGCCGCTCAGGTTCTCTCTCCTGCCTACCTTCCCCTGTGCTGGCTCCAGGCCTAGGCTTGGCCTCCGGCTGTTTAGGCTTGGCCGGCCTGCAAGGTGGGTGTGCTCCTCCTTGGGGCCGTTTGACCCCCAAGGTCACCAGGTCAGCCGGTGCCTCTGCAGACACACAGCCAGCCCAGGGATCTGCGCTGACTGCCACCCGTTCCGTCAGTCCCTCTTCCGCAGCGGGCGGTGGGGGTCTAGGAGGAGCCCACTGGGAATCACGCTCTACAATCCCCCACAGCGACACCCCGGATGAGTCCTGTCTCCACCCTATCTATAGACGAGAGCCAGGCTCACTGGGTGCTCAGGTCCCGGGAACCTACCACTGGACTGCGGTCCATTCAACGGAATCTGAACCGCAGCCTCTAAGCCAGAATGCTGTGTGTGTTTGGGATGGGGGAAGGCATAAGGTGGGACGTGGGAGTAACATGTTTAAAAGCAGAAAACACCCTTTCCTGGGAAAGCCGCTCTTTTGGCGTTTTCTCAAGGACCACCTTTCCAAGAAGCACCCTAGACTCACCAAAACCAAACTGGTTGCCAGGGAGTCAATTCCTATTCACAGTGCCCCTAGAGAACAGAGTAGAACCGCTCCATAGGGTTTTCAAGGTGAGCTCTGGTGGCTTAGTGCCTAAGGCACTTGACTGCTAACCAGAAGGCTGGTGGTTCAAACCCACCAGCCACTCCTCGGAAGGAAGGTTGGGCAATCTACTTCCGTAGAGATACCGCCTCAGAAACCCAAGGAGGGGTTGCTATGAGTCGGATCTGACTCCATGGCAGTGAGTTTGGTTTCAATCTTTACAGAAGCAGACTGCCTCATCTTTCTCTCATGGAGCAAATGGTGGGTTTGAACCACTGGCCTTTATTTCTCAGCTTAGAATCCACTCTGGGCTCCTACTTCTCTCCCGTTAAACCCTGACAGGGCTCATGAGACCCTTAATAATCATAGCTGACGGCACTTCAGTGTGGCAGGTACCATTCTAAACAAGTATTATGAACTCATTCAATTCTTCCAACAGCCCGTGAGGCAGGTGTTGCTATCACCTAGTTTACAGTAAAGCAACAGAGGCCCGGAGGAGGAGGTAGCTGCCCACGTATGTGGGCAGAACTGGGATTGAACCAACAGCCTGGGCCCTCCTGACAAGCACCCTCTTGCCCTATGATATGGAATCAGTCATCCCACACGGCTCCAGAGCCCAGGGACCCAGGTGAAGTCACGGCTTTTGAGGACTCCTACTCCTTCCTCATTGAAGATGCCATTGGGGTTGCCCCTGCCCACCCTCAGATGATCTGACTTCGTTACGCAGCAGCTCGGTTCTTGTTGGAGTCTGTTGCAGCTTGTTGCGGTCTGACAGCCACAGGTCTACGGCCTCCTGGAGACCTGAAGACATCTAAGACAGAAAGCCTTTTCTCCCCCCACAATAGCTTCCTGTCTCTGCCACACAGCAGGTCCCTTGCCTGCCACCTGCTAGCTCCACAGACACCTGTGACCTTTCTCTTGTGGCTGATGCAGCCTCCTGCTTGGTCTCCACCTGCTGACTGCAATTTGTTTCAAAACTCTCATTACAGCAAAGGGGACGCCCCCTCAACCCTCTGCAAAACTAAACTCATTGCCAATCGAGTCGATTTCGACTCATGGTGACCCCTCCTTGGGTTTCAGAAGTGCTATGTAGCATAGTGGCTAAGGCACTTGACTGCTAACCAGAAGGCTGGCAGTTCAAACCCACCAGCCACTCCTCGGAAGGAAGGTTGGGCATTCCTACTTCCGTAGTGATACTGCCTCGGAAACCCAAGGAGGGGTCGCTATGAGTCGGGGCCGACTCGATGGCAAACAACAACAACAACATGTCTATAGAAGTAGATTGCCCAACCTGCCTTCCGAGAAGTGGCTGGTGGGCTTGAACCGCCAACCTTCTGGCTAGTAGTCCAATGCCTTAGGCACTACGCTGCCCAACCTTAGTCATTCTGTAAGCTAATGTCTCCAGCCTGCAGCTTCCTGGCTAGTGCTTTCCTCGTTCCGACATTTAACTACTTCACATGAACCGTGTCTGACCTTATATTGTCTTGCCCTGGGGAAAATGTCAAGTCTAACACAGGGACAGTTACTGCAGGATAATCTTCAGGGTGGAAACGAGGTTGTTTACATGGGCCGGGGTGTCCAGAAAGAGCAGGAGCTGTTTCCACGAGATTAAGATCCTGGTGTTAAGAAGACAGATGGAGTTCAACTCTTATCTGCACCAGAGGAAGGTCTTCAACTGGGGCCTCTGTAGGCAGAGGAGACACAGTGAGGGCTTCACACCTGTGTAGTCAACATTCCGAAGTAAGTTACGAGTCAATCTCCACTGTCACAGTGTCTCACTGCAAACTGCAGGCCCATCACACAACTCACACCAAGTGCCCTTTAAAGCAACACAAACTTAAGACTTTATAAAAGTACCTAGTGAAAGGCTGAGTGCCTTCTCAGTATGACAGTGCGACTCCGGGTGCAGGGAGCACCGGCTCACACCTGTCTCTGTTCCTTTCTAGTGAGGAAGAGGCGGCTCGCAGACTTGACAGGGCCCATCATCCCCAAGTGCCGGAGTGGCGTCTAGCATGTGGAGGGGAAGCCCACACCGTTGAACTGGACACGTTCTACTGAGAACCCGTGCTCTGCCATGGAGACCAGAAGGCGAAATGCCGGCACAAAATCCTTTTGTGGTTTAGTTCTTTATGCACTAAGATGTTAGGTTAACTAGTGGTTGTAGTTGAAATTTTATAAAACATGGTTAATGTGAAGTTTTTCTTTAGTCACCGAAGTTCAGTCTAGTTACTTTGAAACTCTAAGAAGCCCTCAACTGGCCGGTTTCACTGAAGGTGGAGTTAAACACTAGCAGTGACCGAGCCCCAGGAGCCCGGTTCTGGTGGCCTCGCCGTGGTGGTTCCAGGTGTGCTTTAACAGGCCAGCAAGCAGCGCCTCTTCCACGTGGTTCGAGAAGGCTGACAAGATACTTTATTACAAATTTGATCCCAGCTACTTAGCAAACGAGAACATAATTTTTTATTAGCCCTCCTTTAATTTTAAGAAAAATACTTTAATTCCTTTAATGCCAAGTTGATTGCTGGATCGAGAACACAATTTTTCTCCTCAAAAGACCAAAAAAAAAAAAAAAATTGCTGAAGCCACAGAGCTCTGCCAGGAACAGAAAGCATGAGTCTTTTGCTGGGCACCAGGAAACAGTAGAAAAAGCCAGTGGTGAAATTTCACGTTTTGCAGACCGTCTTTCCTTAGCAATCCCAGGCAACAGACGTTTTCCCTGTGTGTCTTCTGTGAGCATCAGCCATCAGCCCATTTAGTACTGGAGTTAACAAAGATTTTCTCCTCTAATGTCAACCTCATGAAGGATGTGAAAATTGAGAGCCAGATACCTGAAAACCCCTCTGCTCTGCACAGGGGGCAGAAAGGAGCAATCATTAGATGGCTTGCATGAGGTAAGCACTGCAGGAACAGACTCCTAGTGCAGCCAAGGGTAGCGACTTCGACGGCCTGGCTCATGGCATATCAGAGAGCACCACCACTGAGCTCCTGCCTGGGAACTAAGTCCCTGAAGGACAAAGGTGAGGAACATGGAGCTATTAGGGAAAGAGGCGATCCTGGCCACGTCATCCAAAGATCATTACTCTGGAAACGGAACCCTGCAGTTTCTGCTGTGCTCCTTTGTAGCATCCTGCGCGTCCCTTGGAAGCCAGCAGAAATCCTGTAAGCCATAATGCCCTTGTGCCTTTTAATATACCACAGTGCCAGTTCAGCCAGTCATTTCCTTTTGCTTTGGGGAGTTATCTTCATGTGTGATTCAATAAATCTTACGATAAAGGACAAAGCCAAAGAGCTGGTGAACACGGACTAAGCTGCAGAGCACCGAGCAAAGACACTTTTGATGAGAAAGGGAAAGTCCTGTGCACTGAACTGTAATGGCATGGACAGGACGGGGTAATGCGAGGCGGAGCCAGCCTCACCACTATGGAAGAGGGGCGACGGAGGCTGCAAGTGGGCCCGGGAGTGGCACCCTGCTGCAGGGACAGTCATCCCCACTTGGCTTCTCCTTGAAACACGATTGCAGTTGCATTCTGCATCACTGGAAACTGCAATATAATATTAAATCTCTTGGTCTGTGCATGACTGGGAGTGTGCTTCTTGGGACTTGTGGGACAGGGACATGCCCTTTATGAAAAAGTGTCCAGAGGCTGGGCAGCCACCATAGCAGTGCTGAATGACCTCCCTAGGAGCATGTCATCTCATGTCCTGTGTGTGGCCCAGATGTCAGTGTCACAGAGCCTTGTCTGACCCTATCAAAGAGAACACCTGAAAGCTAACAGTGTGGGTGCTGGGAGAAGCCTCCTACAGACAAGAAATCAATGAAGAGAGAAGGGGGCCTCACCTCTAAGGCCACCTGCTCCATCTGCTAAGCTGCCAGTCTAGACCAGAGGCTGGCGAACTTGTCCCATAAAGGGCCAGATAGTAAACATCTGAGACCCTGTGGGCCACACACTCTCTGCTGCACCTTCTCGGCCCTGCTACTGCAGTGCAGACGCGGCACGGGTCACGCGTGAGGGAGCCGGGAGCTCTGGCTGCGTGCCAACACAATTTTGTTTATGACACTAGGAAGTGGGCCGAATGCCACGGTGTAGACCCCAGGCTGCCAGAGGAAAGATGGAGGCGCTGATGAGTGGCAGAGGAGGCCCCCCCAGGATCACCCCCTTCACATTTCTGCCATTAGGATGTACAGCTTTTTTGACAAGGCAGCGAAAGGCACAGCACGGGCACCAGGCTTGAGGCTCCATGCCTCAGCAGCTACGGGACCCCACACAGCTCACCCTTTGACTGTGTGCAAGGACCTTTTGAGTCAGAATAGCAGATAAGTGGTCAGACAGCACCCACCTCCCTCTGCCCTGTCCCTGTGAAGCACAGGTGCCCAGGATGGAGACCAGTTGGCCACAGTGGCATTGGCCAGCATGGAAGTTCTCCATTCCCCTTACTACAGCCTTGAGATCCTCCTGTATGTATTGCCCCAAACACAGCTTTGTGAAGGCTTGAAGACAGTGCTGAAGGTGCTGCTCACAGGAGCAACTGCTCCTCCTCACCTGCCCCAGGCCCCAGCTCTGGCCTCCCCAGGAGCCGCGCCGGCTGTGAAAGTTCCCTGGGTATGCGTGGCCGGCGGGCTGTACACGCACACTGCTCTTTAAAGCTGTTCTGCGTTGCGCTCAAAGCCGGCTGGCTCCCTTTGTCCTGGCAGGTGACACAACAGGCTGTGAGCCCCTGTCCTTGGCAGGCAGGGCAGGACAAGACGAGCTGGCGGCACTGGGGAGTTGAACACAGTTTATAGTGGTCCCACTGGACTCCACAGTATGAACATTCTGGGGAAGCAAGGAAAGCCTTTATTAAAAGCATGTACACACGTGCACACGCACACACACGGAGACAGGGACTTCCCCAGTTCCCAAATAAAACTCTCGGCTCCACACAATCTAGTACACACACGCACACACACACACACATGCGCACGCACGGAGACGGACTTCCCCGAGTCCCAAATAAAACCCGGCTCCCCAATATCTAGTACACATGTGCACACACACACGCCACGCACAGACGGGGACTTCCCCAGTTCCCAAATAAAACTCGGCTCCCTACAATCTGGTACACACACGTGCACATACACATGCACACGCACACAGACAGGGACTTCCCCGGTTCCCAAATAAAATTCTTGGCTGCCCACAATCTCATGTATCCTGGCGGGCCAGGGGATTTCTAAATAGTAAGTCTGCTGTCTTCTTCTAACAGAAAATGCCCTGCCCCTCTCTGCTTTCTTTGTTTTTGGAGGGAGGTGGGACTTTTCTTTCCGATTCCAGCACCACTGGTCCTGCCTTGCCCATCCCGGACACAGGTATTCATGCTCCTCTCTCATGAGCTGTTCCAGAGCTCAGATAACCACCCCTGGTAAGTGGTCTTCTTGCTTCAGGTCACTCCCTTTTCCAGTAGAGGGGCAACACCTGAACACAGATGCCACACCTACCTGCAGCCTCTGCAGGTCACCCACCTACCCTCTTCCCCAGGCCTGAGACCTTCCGCTGTTGCTAGGACCCCTCCCTTCCTCGCCCGTGTCTCCTGCCGACTTCCTGGTACCGGAGACAACAGTTCTTCACCGCTGCTTCCCCTGCTGATCTGAGCCACCTGCGGGTCCCCCTTCTCTCCCTCCCGTTCCCATCAGGCGCCCATCAAGTCCTACCAATACGTCTTCTGTCCAATCTGTCCAATCCACTCTTGCTACTTGTTTACAATCTACACTGCGTCTAGTTCCAACACTAGTGTGAGGTAGCTTCAATAAGAGACAAATACAAGGCCATTAAAGTGACTACAAAGATCACAGAGGACGGGCGAGGACAAGCAAACTCAGATCCCACTCATTATCTGAGTGGAACTCACTCCCAGTCCCCGATCACAGAAAGTTTAGAAAACGGCAGTGGTCTCTCTCAGGTTGACTGCTCATGACCATTTTCTCTCCAACTGTGGCATACAGGGAAGGGCAAAAGCCACTCAGGGATGGTTTCCATCCGTCTTTTACTGACTGCCTTCATCTAGTACCACACTTCAGTGTGGCCTCAACTCTGTGGTCAAACCACAGGCTTCCCCCTGATCATCACTTCCTGCGGCCACTCCCACTTCTGGCCTTGGCCCTCGCTTCAGCTCCCACCGTAGAATATACCACCCATCACTCGAATGTACCTATCATATGTGTCCATAAACCACCTGAACTCGGAGCTTTTACCCTTTTACGTGCCCTGGATTTATCTGGCTGTCTAGTGAAGCCAATGGGCTCCATCTTAGAAAAATGGTTTTAAATGCATAAAATATATAGAATTACAATGGAAATAAAATATATAGAAATACAAAATATTTTTGAAATGTGTGATATAGTAAGACATGTGCCTCTTAACACATTTAGTAACCAGACCTGGTGCTGGGTCTCATAGCTGCAACCAGACATGGTGCCAGGTCTCGTAACTGCAACCAGACCCGGTGCCAGGTCTTGTAACTGCAACCAGACCCGGTGCCAGGTCTCATAGCTGCAACCAGACCTGGTGCCAGGTCTCATAACTGCAACCAGACCCGGTGCCAGGTCTCGTAGCTGTAACCAGACCCGGTGCCAGGTCTCATAACTGCAACCAGACCCAGTGCCAGGTCTCATAGCTGCAACCAGACC